CTATCCTCCCAGACTGTGTCCGTTTTAACTAGGAGCTGGAATACGCGGAATAGGATACTGCTGCTATATGTACTTGCCTATGCTAAAGTGTTTATTCTGGTAACCATGCTTTTCTAGGCCAGTAAATAGTGTACTATAATACGGCCTGTGTGCTTCTTAAGAAGATAGCACGCAGTATGAACTCCCAATTCGAGTGAGGTAAAGTGATTAGCATTTGCATAATGAAAGAGCGTTTATAAGTAAAAGCAAAAGTCCTACCATACTCTTGGGTCGTGCAGTGTGCCGTCTATAGACTAACATTTAGGACTACTACCGTATCTATCTGTAGTTTGGACTTAACAGAACGTCTGCTCGTATCCCCTTGATCTCAGCTTGGAGTTTGAATGTTGGTTAAAGCTATTCCGAGCAAATACCCACCTTCAGTAGCTGTCAAACCAGAGTTCTGCAAACCAAGTTTGGTACTGCTATTGATATTTCTAACACTATTAACTATGGTGCTGAGTGATAGTATTTCTAGTACTGTTTCCGGTTGTATAATTATTTAGAAAATGACGTTGCTCATCTCCAAAACGATCTCAACAAGAAGTGCAGTAGTACTGGTTTTAGCTCCGACGATACCATTTGTCAGAGTTCAGGCCATCATCACTCTAAATAGGTGTGCAACAAGTACAGTAATAGAGGACAAAACGTTGCTGAAACTGCAATTAGCTAAAAGCTTAGGCTAGGTTTTGAGGACTAGATTACATTAGCACAGCCAAGCAAATCTAAACTAAGAGACTCAAATGCGCAAACTCTGAGTTACCTCAGTGTCTAAACTGAGTAATGAAGTAACAACTGGCTAGATTCTAAAGTAAGCTACATTAGAATTATGTGTGTCTGGAAATGCAAATTTACTGCTGCTGTTAGGAGAACTAGGCTATATGCAAAAAATTAAAAATTAATGAGCTTATGCGCGTCCTAGGCGTCATCCGTGTTGATTTGCAAGACAACCGGTGAGAATCCATGTCCCCGAGACAGATACAACTGTCATCAATACGGGCCTGGTGTGTGTTCGATCATCGGTTCCGATGAGGTCCACCAAGTGCACCAACAGGTTGGTACAGAAGGTGACGGCCTCAGGAGGTAGTTTAAAGTGATAGAGGACGTAGTTTGCGGCTTCGCACTCTTCACCTTCTCCCATGAGTCTCGAAGACTAAACGGGTTCTGGCGTAGGCCGCTTTCGCCATTACAAGCCAAAACATCGCCTAACTAAGGTTTATGTGACAGTAGACTTTGCGCGGGTACTAGTATGCTATCTACCCTCACTCACCCATAGTAGGTGTGAAGACAGGCCCAAGGAGGCTGAGACTGATACGGCTGCTACTGTTTCTTCTACTTATCACTAACAATTTAGCCGAGTCTTAGTGGTATCAATACTATCGCTGATTCTAAAATTTGTCAGAAGTGATGCTGATTGAAAATCAACGCTCATACCTCCTTTGTCCTCAGCAACGCATGGGAAATTTGCGTTTATGTTATTTCGAGTAGATACAGGCTTGATACCCTTGCCATGTTTTTCGCCCTCTCAACTCTGTCCTCCCAGGCTGTGTCCTTTTCAGCTAGGAGTTGTACTAAGAGGGCCTAGTATTCGTTTGGTTGATTACATAGGTTGCGACATGTTGTGCTGAAAAATGGGCCGAAATTTTAATTGAACTCATGGTTTCTGGTGTAGCCAGGTAACTGAGAAAGTGGAAGTGTTCGCCTCTACATTGCTGCCTGCGGCACGAATTCCACTTTTGTAATAATAAGCTCAACTTAATAGTTCAAATCCGCTGAAACCATCTTCCTTCCTGCCATTTTATTACTACATATTGTCATCCTGAGAAACGTAAATGTTTCTGTTCCTACATAATTAGCTCGACTTTCGCCAATCTACAAATACTTCAAAAAATTGTTAAGCATTCATAAGCAGCATCTCGAATGAACTTTAATCTGCCGCTGGTTCAATGATTAATTAGCGGGGCGTTTGCGTATCGCTGTTCGCCTACGCACTCGAGATGGCCTCAACTACTAATGCGCACCGACTTTGCACATTAACCGAAGACGATTCAATTTTTCTGCTGCTCGTAAAATTCACAGCCTCCACAGCTTCGTGTCGTGTCAACGAAGACAAGAGAGGGCATGCCACTAGAAGAAGCCACGAATGCGCAACCCTCGTCGAAGGCGATGGCTATCTTGAAAGTTACCTTCGTCAGCTAGCCATACCCACCCACCGAGGCATGGCATAACATAATTTCCATACTGTATATGAGTGTTATATGTCCGCATGAGTTTGAGGTTTGAGCAGACCTGATGGGCTCACCCGCGGAATATTATCGCGTTCAACGCCACTGCCATCTATTAATGCGTAGATCATCAACAGAAGTACTTAGCTGACGGCATTGAGG